ACTTAGTCGGTATTCTATTTTTCTAATGGATTTTCAGAATATGTTTCAGAAATTTCTTTTTTCAGTTTTTCAATCCTATTTTCTGTTGTCATTTTTAAGACTGTAACCGATTTAAATTTTTCTGTACTCCAACATCCACCACGCTGGGTTGAGGAACTCTAATGGTTTATATCTGTATATGCTATTGTAACAGTTTTATTTATTTTTTGTATAAATATTTTATGTGCACAAGGTGTTGTGAACATATACTTATCAATATTTTGTGTAAATGCACCAATTTTAATAGGAAATTTTGTCCTAATAAAATGTCACATCCAATTGTGGTTGACATGTATATTGTATCAACAAATACTTCTCTAAAGGAAATTAGAAAATGTACTTGCGTAGCATATTTGCTGTATATTACCTTATTTCCACCTGCTGTTGTAGCGGTGACTATCTTCTTTAAATTGTATATCCAATATTCAGATGGTAGTACATTTGGTAAGTATAAGCTTATTGTACTTCCTGTATCTAAGTAAACATGAAATTTAATTCTACAATAGCTTTTTATATTAAGTGTAATTTCAATACATGGACTTATGGGATTAGTACTTATTACTCTTTCCATGATAACAATGATTTCATATTTTCATTTATTCTTGATATGATGATTAGGTTATCATCAACTGTTATCTTTAAATATCTTTGGCAGATTTTATAAGGACTATATTTCTCAATAAAGTTCATTCCTAATAGAATAGGTGAACGATCTACTCCATATAATTCATCTTTATATAGAATTATTTCTTTAGTATATTCTTTCTGATCCTCTCCTATAAGTATAAGAGGGAACTTAACATATTTTCTTATTTCAAAATTATTTCCTAAATAATCCTTAAATATATATGGTTCTGGTATTTTAAAATCTATTAAATGACTAACAAATTTAGCATTTACATGAATTTTATCTGCTCCAGTATCTATGAGGACAAGAAGATTTTTCTTATATCCTTCTTGATTTACATATCTTGTTTTAATGTAATATTGCGAACTTGATGGTTCAGCAATACTTAAATTCTTAAATCTGCTTATCCTAGAATCTTGTCTAGAGGGAAATCTTGCAATAAGATTATTTCCTTCTAAGCTGACACTATTTCTCCTTATTAATTTTCCTTCGGAATTAATTTCTTTAACTTGTTTATGGAAATCAAGCATTATTTGTTCTGGTATAGTGACTTCATGTTTTTGGTATTTCCTAGGAGATATATATTGTGCTAATTCCTCAAAATCTTTATGTATGATAATGTTATCAGTTATCTTTCTTAGATTGTTATGATGACTAGTACCAAAAGCAAAAATTGATTTTATACTTATACTAATAGCCTTACTTCTTCGTAACAATTTTAAGTTTCCAATTCTATAGTATAGATTGAAACTTTGGTCAATATTTTCATCATTTAATGATATTGCATAATTTGGTTTTACTGTAAATATTATATTCTGATAGACTAAGTTTCCTACGACTGTTTTCAATAGAGCATCTATAAGATCTTGTAAGATTCTATTGTCCATACAGTATATTTCTATTGGTATGTTCATACCTTCTCTAAATAATCCTTTTACCATTATCTGGACTCCTTCTATTTTAATACATTTTAATTTGTTTCTTACATTTTCTGGGATTTTGGATAACTTTTATTTTACCCATTCTTTTGTAATTATAGGAATTCTTGCTTTTCCTATAGTATTTTTTATATTGATAGACATTTCTTTATAATTCATACTTACAATTGTTTTATTTACTCTTGGTAAAATTCCTAAGAATCCTTGATGTAATATATCTTTTTTTGTAGGTCTAATATCTTCTTAGTGATTTCTGTGTATTTTTTAATATTAAAGGTAATTTCTTGATTTATACCTTTTATAGAGTCTTCAACTTCTTCAATTGTTTCTATTTCTATTTCTGATTATTGTATCTCTTGATTCATATATACTATCTCCTCATAATCTTCTTCTGATGAGGATGTATTTAATTCATAAATGCTACTACATTCACTACTTAGATCTTCAAAATATTCAATTGGTTCTATGTCACTATCTTCTTGAAATTTTTCATAAATTCTAAGAGTTTTTATATTTTGTCTATTTTTCTTTTTAGGATATTGAGGGGGTAATGTGTCATTCTTCATTACAAATAAAATATCTACATTTTTTAATATTTCTTTGTTTAAATTTCTTATTCCAATTTCTTTTCTTGAAATATTTTTTGTGTAGTTTAAAATTTCTTTTCTTGATTTTTTTATAGTTTTTGAATTTTCTTTTATATTTCTTCTTATAGCATCCAAATTGTTCAACTTGACCAATATCTTTGTAACAACATAATGAATTTTTTCTTATTTTATATGCTTTTTTATTTTCTAAAGCTTCTCTACACCACATACCTATCATTCTTTTTGTAAATTCAATCCTACTTCCAAGACTATCTATTTTTATTCCTTCCTCTTCTCCTAGAGGTAATAATTTTTCATATTCTTTTAATAACTTAATTCCCCATGAGAATGGTAACTTCGTAAAATAAGATTTTAATATAGGTTTATTTTCTTGATAATCTCCTTGATTTAATATATAGTATATTTCTTCAAATTTACAAGTATATCTTTCTAATTCACACATATCACGTATCTTTAAATTTTCCATTGCTATCATACATTGATTATATTCATCTTGTTTTCTTTCTTCATCATTAGAAGTACACTTATCTCCTAAAAATTCTGTTCTTAAGATTTTTTCAAACTTTTTTAATATCTCCTATATATTTTGTTCATTTAAAGTATTCCTATTATCTAATACCTCAGTTCTACCTGCTCCATACTTTATTTTTCCTTTAATAGTTTCTGGTAAATTTTTCCACCATTCAAAAACAATTCCTCTGAATGTATGTTCAATAAATTCAAAAGCTGTATATGTTTCCCATTTATTAAATTGTATTGTTAAATGTGTGTTTTTCATCCATGTTTCAATAGCTTTATTTTTATCTACACAGTCTAGATCTAACCATACTCCTGTTGTGTGGATTTGTTTATTATAAGATTTCATTGAGTTTATTTCTTTTATGGACTGTTTTCTTACATTTCCAGTGTATCTTTTCTGTGTTTTTCTGTATTGGTAATACCATCCTTATCAGGTATTGGGGTACCATAAGGATAATTTTGTTTTTCATCATTACTGAATTCTACTTTTATATTATGACTTGAAGATGGATTAGTATTCATCTTTATATTTTTCTTTTTTTTCAGTTAATTCTTCTGACTGTTTTTTATATTTTTCATACTCTTCACCTGTAAATTCTAAAAATTTTTGTTCTATTTCTTCTACATCTGTAATCATATATTGTTTTTCTTCATGTTTTTTCCTTTTATTATTTTCCTTTTTTGTTATCCTAAAATCTTGAGATGGATTAATTATAATCCTATCTTTTCCTTTAAATTTTTTTTTATCTAAAAGAGCTTTTCTACTTGAAGATTATATTCTAGATTTTCTAATCTTTTGTGTATATCCTCAAAACTTTCATTCGTGGTGTTTTTAGGTAAATAGGGATAACTAGGTTTTTTATGTTTTTCAACATTTTTCAAAAATTTTTCAATTATATTTTTTTCATCTACTATATTCATCATAATTTTTGGTTCGTAACATGACTCTGATACCATTTCTTCGGAGTGTGCAGCAGAAGGGTTTAGATTTTTGAACCAATTAAAATCTTCATAAGTAGTTAAAATATCACAATATAATTTATAAAATTCACTATTTTTTATTAAAAAATTTTCTTCGATAATTATATTTAGTTCTCTAATTCTTCTTCTCAGGTTAAGAATTAGTTTATATATATCATTTTCTGTTTTGATTGTACTATAATCTATAGAAACATTTTTATTTTTTAATTTTGGATCTAAATATTCTGTGAAGAATCATTTCAAATCTTCTTCTAAATAATTTAATTCATTTTCTGTTGCGTTTTTTAGATTAATAAAATTTTGTATAATATTTGGGGTTAAATTTATAAAAGATTTTTGATCTATATTTCTTTGAGGATCTAATTGAAGGTTTTTATACATTGTAGTGGCTTTGGTTGCAATTTCATAATAAAGGGTACTTTTGGAAAAGTTATTGTTCAAAGTCTATTATTCAAATGTTTATATTTTTTGGTCTAATCTTACAAAACTCCCTTTTATTTAGGCTATCTAGAGGTATTTTCTCCTCAAAATTGTCTTCATATGTTTAGTACTTGTTTGGTAGAGATTTAGATAATTGATTTTTTAACTTTTAAAGATAAGGTAGATCTTACCCGTGAGAGAAGAATTAAAAAATAACGGTTGAAATAGTAAAATAACAGTAAAAAATTGACTTTAAGGTTGCGTTTGATTGCAAATATGAAATTTGTATGGAAAAAAATAAATTCTAGGTAATTCAATTGCCTGTAATTTATTTGTATGAAAATTATCAATTAAATATGTTTGATTGATTTAATTTTCAATTTAGAAAATATTATACTTGTCCATTTTTTATTGGTCGGTTAATGAGAGAGAGTGGATAAATAAGAGAGAGAAAAAAAGAGTGAATTCCGTGGAAAATAAAATCATACTATTTCTAAAGAAATTATTTTCCTTGATTTTGATGAAAATATGGTCACGTGACCAAAAGTGAGAAAATATTTTCCATGGAAAAAAATGACAATCAAACTGCACGAAATTAAAAATTTGGGTAAAAAAATACATCTTTCGTGAAAAATATAGGCAACCAAATGCACTCTAATTGAATTAATAGCTATACCAGACAAGTTCTAAAATTAACTACAACTGCCGGATCTCCCCTTTAATCCCCAGCTTTAAGAATCAAAACGAATAGATTCTTTCTAATCAAGGGTAATTTCATCCTTTCACATCACCTTATGCTCTAATCGTGTGCGTAAATCCAATTACGGTTGCTAACAGTGGATTTAAATCCTCTTTAACAAACTTCAAACCGTTAAACCTCTTTATGCCCAACTATAAACCCCTCGCCTCCCTCGCTTTCTCACTCTAAACGTAATAAAGATTTGGAGAAGTTGAATCTTTATCATCACTGTAAAAAGAATCGAAAATGGAGCCTCCAATTCTTGAAGCCAGCAACAAGGGGAAGAAGAAGCCACCAAATTTCTATGGCTTCCACACATTTGCTGAGCCCGGTTTTCCCATTTCACTCCGTGGGCCGTTTAGAGATAACATCCGTCAGTTTCTTCAAGAATGTGCAAAGCTGGAGGAATATAATGTGGAGGGAATGCCCGTATGGTGCACATTTCTGGTTCTTGAGAACAAGGGTCTTGTGCTTCCCCTTTACACCATTGAAGAGAATGTTAAAAAATCAGCTAAACCCTTCTGTGATCCATGCCGTTGCGCGGGTAAGAGAAAACCATTACGATTTTTTCGGTTGAATTTCGAATTGGGTTATGATTTTGAGCTGGAAATTGTAGTTTTTGATTAGTTATGGTGTTTTGAAATTTTTGAACTTTGCTGATGCAGGGTGGAGTAATCACTTAGTGTCTAAAAGGAAGTATCATGTGATAATACCTGTGGAGGATGACTGGAATAAACCGCTTAATGAAGGAGTTCTTGATTTGCAAAATCATATCTTACATGGGCTGATTCATTGCAACGGATTTGGGCATCTGCTAATTATCAATGGGATTGAGGGCGGATCGAAATTACGTTGATTCGACAATGATCGTAATTCTTGATGTATATGTATGCGAGACATTGATCTGATTTCCCAATCGAATTAGATCATCGGTAGAAGTATGATCATTTTATTAATATTATCGCTGTGATGAGTCATTGGTAGATTAGGAAATGTCCTGATTTAAAATTATTATTGAATAACATTTTGAGAAACATATTATCTGAATTTGTCGACAGAGCACATTAGTTTTTTGAAGAATATATTATCGATTTTTTCTCCGTTTTCTTTTGTAGACAAATCACAGTCGAAGACTTGTCCAAGAAACGCAAGATGGATCTTCGATTGCTATATGGAGTTGCTTATGGACACTCGTGGTTCGGGAGATGGGGATATCGATTCTTTCAGGGAAGTTTTGGGGTGAAGGAGCATAATTACACTAGAGCCATTGATATTCTCAGCTCTTTGGAGCTAGATCAGATTATAAATGACTGTTGTCAAAAAAATGGGTGTAGAGATGTTATTGGACAGATCATCCGCCATTACAGAGATATGAGTGAAACGAATTTGACTACAATTAGAGATCTCTTCAGATTTATGCTTACTCTCAAGTCGACAGATCCAGCAGGGAGAAATTCCACCACTATTGCCACATTTACAAATTCTACGGAAATTTTGCCTAAAATTGCTCTATGGGACCGACCTGTTGGAAAGGAACGATCCATGAAGTGCAGAAAGTTTGCCAATGTTGCAGCACATATGGACAGCCGGTGGCCTGTTAGGAGACTTCAACATGTGGCAAATGTCATTGTTGAAGCGCTGAAAGAAAAGAGAGCAACAAACGAGGTTGGTAGTAGTGGGATGACTAGACAGGAGGCACGAGATGCTGCTCGACTCCATATCGGTGACACGGGGTTGATAGATCATGTTCTAAAAGCAATGAACAATGTAATTGTTGGGAATTACATCGTTCGACGTGCAGTGAACCGGTTGACTAGAGTGTTGGAATATTCTATCCATGATCTCAAGGGTGGCACTCAGGATGATCCTGTAATGATTCCCAGGCCGATGATGTTTGGGAAAAGCGTTTACTTTGATGTCACCTACTTGTACCATAATGTACTCCAGTGCTGCTATTCAGAGTCGAATTATGTGAAACTGGCTGTTCAAACGATTTTAGACAGCAAACATTTTGTGAAGGATTGGCCATTCAGAGATGAGGCGGATGACTTACTGAGGTTCATATGTCAAGTAACACCAAACTCAATCGACCTGAAAACTGAACTTACTCGAGACTTCTCACCTTCAGAGTATATAGTGGTTCCTCTCCATGCCACAATGGGTGATCTGAAGTTATCTGTTCAAAATGCAATGAGGGACACTTACTGTGTTATGGAGCAGCTTCTGGTAACAGATGTTGTAGAGAAGGAGGGAGTGGATGATGAGGAAGTGCTTTTTGGACTGGTCGAGTCAGGTGCACAGCTTCGGGTTAGAGGTTCCGGATTGGACTGGGGAACAGATTTGAGGTTCGAAGGGGGAATTGACACTTGGACTGTTAAATGTAAGTGTGGGGCACTAGATGATGACGGGGAGAGGATGGTGTCATGTGACATATGCGAGATATGGCAACACACACGATGCAGTGGTATTGAAGATACTGAAGTTGTGCCACAATTGTTTGTATGCGAGGCTTGTTGCACGAGCCTCGCACCACCACGGGTGCAGCAAAGCTACGATTTTGAGCATTTCCCTGCTTCCATTTTGCCTCGGTTCTCCGAAGTCGACGTGGGAATACTGTACTGAGGATAGGGTTTCATGATGGTGAAATGTTTGTGGTGATAGTCATTAGGCCTCTGCTGAATTTGTAGGCATAGAATAGGAAAGTTAACTCATGTTGAGTTTACATTGACTGATATGGATGTATCAAACATTTGATAGAAAGATTCAATGCTTTCGGATTCACAATTGAGTTTGATCTAACAGTAGATAGGAACTGAACTGTCTCCCATGACGTTATAAATCCTACTACTCATAAGGCTTGGATTGGGTGTGTGAAGAAAAATATGTAGATATCGTTCTCTTGACACAAATGGATCTTTGAGAAATTTGCAGTGTTACGGTTTTTTTATTACTCTTTTAGATGAGAAATAAGCTTTTATTAAAAAAAAAAAAAAAAACTTTTATTGTTTTATTGTAGGTTCAATAACTCTATGAATAGAGAGATTTTAAACTAAGAAGCTTAGCCTAGATTGTAGTAATGGTTTAAAATATGAATCATACCTCCTAAAACGATCTACTAAATTCGTTGAGTTGCTCCAAATCATCAAAATGGCCAGTTATTAATAGAACTCTTTGTTCGCCCTTTGTAAACTATTATTTGGCCAATACTGTGAGAGTTGCTAGTATTGACACAAAGAATATGAGAAGATAACAAAATGAAGTAATGAGATAGTTGTTATTTATTTATTTTTAGTTGATGTTTATACAAGAGTGGGAGTCGACAGCATTGGATAAGACTAATGATAAGAGGCCTTACTTCGATCACATCTTGATTGTTAATGAGAAATACAAGGATTACTGCTACAAAAAGCACTTATATCCTTGATTATGAAATATTTGACAGCTTGTTAACTATAATAGAAATTTAAACTTTTAAAATGCATTTTCTTTCAATTTTTAGCTTTATGAAATAAACATGTACTCACGTCATAAGAGTTAGACAATTTCGAGTGAACTAATAAATTGAGTTATGAGGTATTTGATATCTACGGGTTTTTGCATTTATTCGGGCCATTAAACATGGATATTTGTAAGTTTCATTAGCGATTTATTACCTAATTTATTTGTTTTTATTGTGTAGGTAAAAACCTGAATTTGATGATATTTATGCGAGAACAGATGAAAAAAATTAAGGAAAACGAAGAGGAAGCGTGAAGACGTTGTTGAAAGAGGATATTTCTTAAAAAAATAATAAGAAGAAAAAAATTAAAAAAATTAAAAAATTTGCAATGAGCTGGGTGCAAGAAGTAGAAACTGTGGCGCCTAGGCGCCACTCGAGTCGTTTTTAATTGTTTTCAGAAGTCCAAGGACCTTGGTTGCAATTTCACTTAGGTTTTAAGTTAAAACCTAGCAATTGCGGGGTTCCCAGTCATTTAAAAAAAAGGACTCTCTAGTCTCCTCTTCCATTATTTTGGGGGCAGCCGTTTTTTTCACCATTTCTCTTTTCTTTTTCCTTCTTCCTTCTACCTACGTATTCTTAAATATTTTGGGGAAAATTGAAAGATGGTGATGGTGCAATATCTTGGAGAAGAAGACCCATTGATATTGAAGAATTCTTTAACATTTCTCTCTTTATTAATAAGTTTTTCTTTTTACATTTTCTATCAATGTTTTGTAAGAATTTGTTAGTTATTTATGAATATTTCATGGGTAACTAAATATATTTGTGATTGCGGATGTTTTTAAACTCAAGTTATGATTTTCAATTAATTTGTGCTTCATAATTCTCTTGATTAATGTACTTAATCCATTGTATTAAATATTAATTTTGTTCTTCTTAATTGTTTAGGCGTACAATTAAATGATTAGGTTGTTTCAATTAATGCTATTTTGGGATTGATAGTATGTAATAACTATTAATTCTACAACCTTGTAGCAATTACATTTCGATAGATTATGAGGAATTTTCAATTGAATGTATGTGGGTTAACACTTAATTTAGTAAATCGAGTTTGCGAGTTTGCCCTTAATTCAATTCATCTCTTTTGTTGAAATGCGTTTGTTAAATTAAATATAGAGAGCTTGTTCTAGGTTGTTTGATGAATATGATTGAGTAAAGAGGTTGTTTTATTCGACTAATATGTAAGAAGAGATTGAGATAATTGAGCTTGTAATTATTCTTGAATTGTTGTTAATGTAGTGAACGAGAATTTATTGTAGTAATTGACATAAAAATCGTTCTCATGGTGACAAAATACCCCTCAATCACATTTTCTCGTATTCAATCAAAAACCACTTTGTTTATTTCAAATTTCAATTCTTTAATACTTTAAATTTATTGCTTTCCTTAGTTCAACAAACCAAACGCCCCATTTAATCTATTTCGTTTATTATTGTTGATTTTACTTTTTAGTCCAAATTGTCATAATTGAATCAATCATTTGCGTGAAATGACCCTTACATGCTGATAAGTGTGATTTTGCACACTTATTTATGTCACAAACATGATTTAATTATGAATAAAATGATTGAATTGTGACTTAATTTCATTATATTTGTAAATTGTAGGTAATACCGATGGACATGGTGAAATACATGAGAAAAGACGCGAAAAAGGACTAAAATGACACAAAGTGAAAGTTCAAGGACCAAGATGCAATTACTTAAAAGTTGACCCGATGAACAAATCAAGAAATCGAGTGTGCCAAATACGAATTGATGACATTTTGGGATGATGGAATGTGAAGAATGAAGAAAAGATGTAAAAAAGTAGAAGATTAAAGAGAAGGGACCAAATTGCAGGAATTGAAAGATAAATTCTACCATGCGGTCGCATGGTAGAAAAGTCGTGCGGCGGCATGAAGTGATGCAGGGATTAAGAATGAAAAAAGAATATAAACATGCGGCCGCACGGATTAAAATCATGCGGTCGCATAGTACAAATTGGGCGCCAAAATTTTCTTTCCTTATACGATTGAAACACCTATGGTAACCTAATTTTTCACGGGATATAAATACCAAAAACATTCCAGAGACGCCCAGAATGTAATTGGAGGCCGAAAAACAATTTTTGAAGAGGATTTGAGCGCAAGAACAAAGATTAACACGAAGAACTTCAAGATTTATTCAAGTTTTATAACCCAATGATGTCCTATATACAAACCTTGATGTATTTTGTTATTTTGAGCATGCTAGGCTAGATTTATTTATGCTAGGAGATCGATGAACCATGTGATTTGAATTTTAATATTCTGGTTTTGCAATTTGATATAAGACACAATTTCTATTATGTTGAATGATTTATATGCAATTAAATGTTTACGCAATTAAGAGCTCATAATTGTGTGAATTTAAGTGATTTATTCTTGCATTCGAGAGAATTGGAATAGATTTGACATAGTATAAATCATCGTAGGGTCCGATAGTGGATAGAAATATACCGCTATGCTCTATGTGAATCTTTAATGTTCATAAAATTTCATGCATTTTTACATATGCTCTTGTCATAGAAATATAGACCGGTGGTGTGTAGAAATAGGTTTGATACATCTCGAGAGAGAGTATTGGATAGACTTAGGAACATTGATTCGTCAAAATCGAAATGTGTTGTCATATTGTGAAACTAGAGTTTAAAGTGATAATTGCATGGGAATTCGTGATCCTAGCATATTTCATTCCCAATAATTATAACAAGTGCGTTCTCAACTTTTAGATTTCATTCTCAAGTTTAATTTATTGTTTTGCATATTAATTTCAGTTTAATCATAAGAAAAGAAAAATGCATAATTGAGGTTCAATTAGGTCTACATCCATTTTGGTAATTTAGTTTCAGTTAAGGCTGAGGTAGATAAAATTTGAACTAATCGATCTCTGTGGGACGATATTCGGACTCATTGAATCCACTTTATTACTTGTTAACGAACCGTACACTTGCGGTGGTTTTAAATCGAAAGAAAATAATTTCGCGAACACTTGTCATAATACTATTCAAGACGACACATTTAAATTAAGTAAGGAAAATTAATTGAAACGTCATTTGAAACGTATCAATATTGAATTTAGATGAAGTTTGAGAAGAGACGATACAAGAATATGGGAACTTCTTGTCTTTGAATATCGCAAGTTACTAACTTCACAAGTATTAACAAATAGCACATCCATCAAGTCTCGCTCAATAAATAGAATAAATTTACAGATCACACCATGCATATAAAATGTAACTACACTTTACATGTCTTCTTTCTGTGCTATATAAATTGTAATTTTTTGAAATTATCTCCATTCCCCCTTCCCCCCTTTTGCACCCAAGCTTTTGAGAGATAAAAAAGAAAGTCCCTTCTACTATATATTAAAAAAATGGGTAAATTTCACTCTAGGTCTCCAATATTCCATTTTCTAACAATTCACTCTATCAATCTTTATCCTCATCTTGTCCTCAGCCTTTCATATATTCGCACATATCGTTCATTCTTCATATTGATGTTTTTCATTCATTGTTGCCATGAATCTCCAGTGAAAGGACAATTCTACCCTTAACTTTAAATAATTAAAAAAAATTATACAAGAAAGATAAATAAAAAAGAATTTAAAAAAAGAAAAAAAGAAGGGTCTTCTTCTTTCCTTACTTCCACATCCCTACCCAAACCCGCCTCCAATTCTTCACTGCCAAGATTACCCGAAGCTTTGCTCGTCTAGCCGAAACCACAAACCCACTAAACATCGATATTTCCTCATTTGAGTAAATGATACTTCTTTTGAAAAGTTTCTTTTTGTTTCTAAATTCTAAAACAACTAAAAGTTCGAGTGAATGATGCAAACAACTGCACAAGTGAAGAGCTTAATTGAAGTTTTATCAAATGTTAAATGTGTATTTTAAATGAAAACAAATCAAAACACGAAGCAATGCTCGATACTTAATTTTTTGGGAGTCACATTATCAAGATGCTTTCCGCCAACCAAGAAAATATTAATTCGTATCTCCAATGTGTCATGTGGAGAATTGGACCAACGATAGCTTGACATGAACAAGAAATCATCTCTTCACGAATCAAGAATCTAATAAAATTGCCTCCTCATAGAGTGGTTCAGTTGGTGGAGTAGGTGAATGCGGATGCATTTGATCACGAGTTTAATTCCCTCTATCAACATTTTTTCGGTCGAGTCTGTTACACCGGACTTGTCTAGTGTGGTTTACTTGACTGACGTGATTTGCAAGTTATTGCGTCAGTCCGAGGGTTTATCCAGTGCACACCTGAAGAGTACCGATTGCAGGTAAAAAAAAAAAATCTTCAACAGTCGCCCTAAAACCAGTGGCTTTATATTTCACGACTATCAGATACTTTAGATAACATACTCAGTGGCATGTTACTGCCAGCCTGCCACCAATTACGAAGGAGAGAGGGAAAGGAAAGAAACAACACTATAAGACAGGGAGTCTTACTGGGTGTACAGGATAAAATATTACAAAACACCTACAGACAATTCACAATGTTGCTAGTTAAGGATGGCAATAAAACCCGCTCGATTCGGCCCTACCGGGGTCCCACCCCAAATGGGTTGGTGGGGCGGGGCGACCGTGAAGGAAAAAAATTTAAAAATAATTTTATTTTTAGACAATTCATTCGTTAAAAAATCATTTTGAATTTGTATTTTATTCACTAATAATAACGTAGCTTGAAACTTTAAAAATGTTTCAAAAAAAAATAAACGGGACAACAAACGGGGGAAAAAGGTTGCCCCGCCCCGTCTAAGGCGGAGCGGGACAAGGCTTGGGGAAACGGTGCAGGATGGGGGTGCCCCGGCCCGAACCCGACCCATTGCTATCACTATTGCTAGTGAGTAATAATACTGTAAATTTTCTTTCAAAAACTCATTATGTTATATTTAACTTTTTTCTTATTCAGTCAGTCAAGTTACATAATACATAAAAAGGTAACAAAAATCTTAATTTTTTTTTATTGATTTGTGTCTATTAACCTGATTTTATTTGTTAGTCAATAATTCTTGTAATATCAAATTAATTAGTTATTTTAGTTCTTATAGTATAAGTGGGCTTAGAACTAGGACAATTTTTTAAAATTGATTTAATTTAAACTAAAAGTCCAAACCCAACCAAAGCAATTTGGGTTGAAATTCACCAAAATCGATTAATTTAATTTTGATTTCAATTTCGGGTTGGAGTCGAAACCGACCCAGACTAAACGACGCCGAGGCCTACTTTTTACCTTCTTAAAAGTGATTAAGAGTATGTTTGGTAGAGATTTTAATCTAATCAATATCAATTTTTTTACCGTTACTTCACTATTCCAATCGTTATTTTTGAATTCTTCTTTCATAGATAGGACCCACTTTATCTTTAACGGTAAAAAAATCAATTAACAAAATTTCTACCAAACAGCACTAAATAAAAGTCAATCGTTGAGTAATGGACTGAAACATGAAGTTAGGGTCTATGTTTAAAAAAAAAAAGAAAAAAAAAGAGTAATGCAATTTACAGTCGCAGTCGTCCTATGTGACATACATGTAGCGATTAGTGATTTAATACATTAATATGATAATTTTTTATTACCTTATGTAACGAATCATTAATCGTCGTATGTATGATACGTAAGGTGACCACGATGATAAATAATTGCAAATAGCATTATTCAAAAAAGAAAGGTACTTTCGACGAGGTTTGAGACTTAAATTATAATTTTCTCCACAAAAATTAAGAGAAAGTAAATTCACACATAAAATTATGCCAAAAATAAAAGGCTTCGAAATCATTCGCGTCACTTTTAAAAATTTTGAACTAATATCACAATATAGACAAAGGTACGAACCCTTTTGCATCAATATGCTATATTACCAAATCGATATCAACTATGTTTTTTTTTTTTTTTTTTTTTTTTTTTTTACAAGGTGTCCGGGCTTGCGTCCGACTAGATCCTTGTCCCTGAACCTCCGGCCCCTCAGCAGCTCAGGGAGGTAAATCGCAGGATGTGCCCTTGTTGGCTCCCAGGTTCCCACAACTCATTTGGACTCCTTCCGTAAAGAGAGCTCTCCTCGTTGGGCGTTTGTTCAACCAAATGGCTTCCCCTCCATTTTAGCACCCAGTGTTAACTCCAGGAATCGAACTCTCCATCCTTGCTTCCAGCGTCCCAACGAAGTGATTGTTCCACCAACTCGGATGCGCCCTGGGGGGCGATATCAACTATGTTACATTGACAGAATGAGGTGACAGACTCCCTGACTGAAAACTCACGATAGGGTTGGGGCAACTTTTTTTGAAATTTTTTATTCACGCGGGTCTCAATATCATGTGAGAGGATGTCAAATCGCATGTCACCCTTTTCCTGTCAAACTAATTTAATTTAATCGATATTACTAGAATTGTACCAATTTAACATTCGATAGCAAAAAATTGATAGTTGGACCAATGACATTTTCTAACCAGAAATAGAATCATGCTACATTTATGGTCCGTTTAATTGTAAAAATAGAATTTGGAAGAAAAGAAAACGAATTTCAGGGAATTGAATTGCCTATAAATTGTTTTAATTTTACTAAGAATTGCCAATTATTGTATTTGATTGGTATAATTTTTCATGTAAAAAATATTAAAATAAAAGTATTTTTTGACGTTCTATTGACTTTGTTTTACATGAAAATTATCAATTAAATGGATAGAATTTACTGTTATTATGGATAAAATTTGTTTCCATTGCCAAAAAAAAAATCATATATATTTTGGTATTCGTTTGACTTTATTTTATATGAAAATTGTCAATTAAAGGAAAATATTTTTTTACAATTAGAGATAGAATTTATTTCCATTGTAGTAGTAATAATAATAATAATAATAATAATAATAAATAAATAAATAAATAAATAAATAAATCAATCAATCAACAGCCTATCTAGAAAATCAAGAAAATCAATTCGATGAAAAAAATATGCTATCAAACAATCAAAAAAATAGAAGTTGGAATTTGAATTCCATTTTTCATGGAAAATAATGGCCAATCCAACAAGGCCTTAACAATTTTCGTACAGGACACTGAAAGATTTCCATGTACATTGAGCCTTATTCTTCTAACCATCCAAAAACATAATTTGCCAACTCATTTTGATAATCTGATTCTGGTAAAATAATCGAATTAATTGTTCCAATGATCGCTGAACTTAGATCAATGTTTTTGATTGGCTGCTGAAGTTTAGAATGTCAAGTTTTGATCACGGAACTTAGATCAATGTATTCGATTGCTCACTGAACTTAGGTTCATGTCTTAGATTGCTCACTTAAATTTAAAATATCGAGTTTTGACCACTGAACTTTGAAATATGTCGCACGTTACTCATTAACATAATTGTTTAACTTTAAAAAATATCGATTTTACAGTAAGTAATGTATAACATTTTTCAAAATTTAATGAATAAAGTACAATATTTTTCAAAGTTTAGTGGTTAAAATTCGATATTTTCAAAGTTCAGTGAATAATGTACAATATTTTTCAAAGTTCAATGGCGAAAACTCTACATTTTAAACTTCAGTGAATAGTCGAAGACATAGACCTAAGCTCGATGATCAAAATTCGACATTTTAAACTTCATTGACTAAGCCCTCATTTGACCCTCATTTTTTTTTAAAATAAAAATGGGTGGAATAATGGGGGCTAATCAAAGACATTGATCTAAATTCACTAATAATTGGAACAATTAACTCAAAAAATCTAGAATGACATGACTCTTGGAACAGTTTCCCCAAATTTTAAATCGACCTAAATTAGGGATTTTGAGTAAGAACAATTTCAGTTCATAATATAGCTTCAGAAACTGGGAACTTTATTGATGGTAGCCATTCCGATCTTAAAGCGCATTATTTCCCCTCATTATGAACTGCTGGAGGAAAGTCGTGAAATTTTGCTGCATTTCCCTCAATCTGCAAACATTTTGCCAAGGGCAGTTCGTTATTTGTTGCTGAAGACTAAGAGGCATATATACTGATTTTTATGGTAAGTAGGTTTCTTAATGAACTCCTTCCTTTCTTCCAAAGTTTTTAATTTTATTTTTATTCCTTTTCCTTTCATCCCTTTTGTGGTAAGAAGGGGTATTATTCTTTTTTTATTACCTATTGTAATATTGGAACAATATGAGGTAAGATGGAGAACTAGATTGTTGCAAGAACTGGAATTTTGAAACCTAAATCGAAACCAGTTGAATGGGAACCAACTGCTGATCTAAATCTTCTCAATTATTTTCAGGCATGAAGCTTTTGCTATGGGTATAACAATAATTCCACTTAATAGAAGAAATCGATAACTAGAAGACAGTAACAAAATTTCTATTAACGAGAGTGTCAGCGTGGTATGTGCAGTGGCATTAGTCTGCTACCTTTTCTATTGAGATTGTACTAACACGAGTCTCTTTTAGGTCAATGGAAGGTTGTCATATCTTATAGTCTTAAAGATGGGAATAATAGGTCGAACCTACTGGTATATCTATAGGTCATAGGTGGTAATGCCTACTAAGTCGCCAGGTTTCATTAGGATTTGGGACCAAGACCACTTCAGTTACGGAACTAAAGTAAAATACTACTCTTATGTAGTGAGCCTCCAATATTAGATATATTTATGAATTGATCTTGTCGGACGCTTGAACCTTTTCTTTTGCTTCAAACTTGAATCTACATACATTTCCATCAGTGGACCAGTACTGGTGGATTAGTCCCTGGGCTGTTGGATGAAGACGTTTTAATTGTTTTTAATAATGTGGTCAAGGCATTTTCCCACTCCTCACTTAGAGAAGATTTTAATATGGTACTATAAGCAGAAGGTATCTTAATCTCCAGGAAGCTAACCAGTTTCAGTTGCTTTCAGAAATACATGTCACTGAATTCTATAAATACCTCTGAAAAATAATCATGGAACTAAAATCCCATACTAGTTTTTCTACTTTATCTTGTACTAAAAGTATCTGTTTATCTCGCGGACATCATCGTTCCAGCATTGACTTGGCTTTGGATTTCTTGGTCACTTGATAGGATTATTTTGTTATATTGTTGTCTTATCGTCTTTCCTTTTCTGTCTATTTTGTTGCTAAACTATACTTTTAGCTTCATTTACTTCTTCTCTGTTCTTATGCATTTACCAGTTCAAGCAGATTTTATAACAATAAGTAAAAAAAAAAAAAAAAAAAAAAGGACGTTTGACTGCCAATTTCCTGCTATAATAATTAGACTTTGTGCTCAGAATACAAAATTTCTTTCCTGCAATATTTAGAAGAGCTTAAATAAAGAAAAGAAAGAAGCTTAATTACAATCACCAAGAATTCTCTAGTGGTTTTTCCAGTAATGCAGAAACGTACATCTCATTTAGCTCCGGGCCACGATCAAGCTTGCGTCCCACCACCCATTTGACCTTGTTAAATCCGACACTTTCTATGAGGGGTGTATAGACATTCTCCAACTCATCCCCAACACAGAAAAAATGGTCGAGCCAGAACAGTCCACCAGGCCTAAGCACCCTATATATGTCGAATATCAAGAAATGGAGCAGTTTTGTGGGTATCCAGTTACTCAGAACATGCATAGAATGCACGATATCTAGTGTGTTGTCGAAGAAGGGGAGTCTTTGCGAAATGCTTATGTACAAAGGTACAACGCCTCTTGATGCAATGAAACTATTGAAAGGGCCATTTAGATTCATTGAAGTTGTGATGATTGTTATGTTTCTTTTTCTCATTCTGACAGCAAATGTAGCCACCCCACCTCCGATGTCAAGCCCTATTCTTATTGTGCCAGGCTTCTTTACTGCAAGTACTTCATCTACGGAGAAGTCGAGGCCCCCACCATTGCCAGTCCATCGGGTTTTCTCTCGTCCAGCAAGGTCAAAACAGTCCTTGCAGTCGTCAAAACCTTTCTGAGTATGCATACGATTGATGAGACATGAATAGTTCTTGCAGGTATGTGCTGTCCAAACAACAGTTGAGTCCGAGGGTGTCATCCATAAGCTATCAGGAAGTGGGTATGGTTCAATGTATTCTTTCTGTGCAGCTGGATGGCACCGGCGTCGAGGAAGTGGCTCACATCCCCGGAGGAGAAGCTTTTGTGCTAGAAGCTCGTCGTCCGGGCAGGATCCATTGACTTTGTATGACATATACTGGCGAAGCATATCAGGGAAAAGTGCACACGGATGGCCAACTGGAGGGAGGATTTTGTCGGAATCAAAATTTGAGTTATAACCCAGTGGGAGCTGCTGTGGGGATGTGAAAGCAAGAAACTCATCAGGGAGGTCTGCTTCACTTTCCGATGCATTGAATTGTTTGACAATCTCTACTTTCGGGGTTGGCTTGGGATCTCTTGGGGCACAATCAGCAGTTTTCCCAATGGGTGTGACGGATTCTACTCGAGTTCCTAGAGAACATGGAGAATACAAGTTAGTGGAAATGAAGAGAGTGAGAAGATTTGAAGACACAAGTAAGAAAAGATAGAAGAGTTTAGAAGAGAAAGATCTTGAATTGCAAGGGGAATCCATGGAAATCTGATTTGGATTGCTTAGAGTTGAAGATGAAGTGTATTGTGTATACGATTAGTTGGGATTAAAGTCAACTTACTAATATATTATGTTTTAATACATTTAATCACGCAGAAGCATGTTTTATTTAAGACGAGTTGGTATTGTAGCAGGTAGTGGGATCTTGTGGAAGGTCAACACTGAGAGAGTGAAGTACAAATTTCATATTCTATAGAGAAGTGTGAAGTTTTGTGATTTCGGTTTTGGCGGACTTGTTCACATGCATTTTCCAATTTGTATGAATTTATCATCTTAAATTACTTTCTTTAAAAATTCATGCGAAGGTTAAATAGATAGAGGAAGAATTTATTCTAACCAGATCTGAGTTTGGATCTAATTCAGTATATTTAAACTCAAAAGATCAATATGCACTTAATTCAATGGCAATGGTTGATTAAATTGCAGGATGCAAATTCATTAATAATGGACCATATTTTAGTTTCTTTTTATTGTTTTATCCATCTTGCGTTGAGAATTAGAAACTCTAGTTTTATATCACCGAAAATAATTAAACTGTAGGAAAAAAAATAGACACACAAGACATGCAAAATTAATAGAGGTTCGTCCTAATGTGAAATTACGTCCTCTTTCGTCGCTGTGGTAACTCATTATTTTCTCTTACATCTCTCTTTTTACAAGAGAAATTGTACATTTTATCATCTCTTATACCTCTCTTTTTAATAATTATAATTAAACCTTAATGATGACTCCCCTGATGATATCCATAATTTTGCGTACAAGCTCTACGCAATGACAATAATTAAATTTTACAACTTGACATCTTGCACTCCCTTATCCGGCCTCTGGTAATGTTCAATGATATGCCAATAGCTATCCATTATTCAAATCTATTTAAGGCATTGTGCTCACTTATTCTCGATTCTTCAATTCAAAAGACATGTTGATATGCAAAAAATTATGATCAAAGCTTCCACGATTAAAAGATTGATAGAATTCACGATGAGCTTCAAAAAATAACGACAAAAACCAATATGAATTCCAAGTGGTCTTTGTATTAAGCTTGCTGTAGATTATTATTCATTGTCACAATGTAGTTTTAGTACTCATGTTTACTAACAAACTCGAAGCTGATAAAAATCCAATCATTCCTCCAGATGAGTTTTCCTATACCTGTTAATCAGAAGTAGAAAACACAAATTATAGAACAGGGGTTTGCAAAATCAAAGCAAGAATGTTCAAATCCTTACAAGAAGGTACATGCTAGTTAGTAGTTACAAACTGCAGAACTCCATTCATATGATCTTTTTCTCATAATGTTCACTCTCTTCATTTCATCCCACCCACCCACCAACCCCTGCGTTTTGGGTGTATTTTCTAGCTTCGAATCTAAAGAATATTTAGACACTACATGTTACAAATCAATGTATAACTGGCTTCAGAGGATGAGCTCTCAGTAGTGACAAGTCCAAGCTTGCATCTAGCTCTTCGTCTAGTTCTCCAACGATGCTACTGCAAGGTAAGGTAAGAAAAATCAGACTACAGCATATAATTATATTAGTCAAACGCAAAAGAATTATGATGTAAATGATATGCAGATGGCAAAGAAAAAATAGTACATGTTGTCTCCTCTGATGATGTAGAGACCCAACACAAGTTGCTGTACACCTTCCTACAATATAGAACAGGCATCAATTGTATTATGAGAAAATCAACCTTATGGAACAACACAACTGTGTTAATATTGAACTAAAATACATATAGGAAAATAAAAGATATAAAAAGAAGAAATGATAAGAATTGATTAATATTCAACTTGAAGGTACATATAACACAAAGCTCCTCAACTACAAGAGCAGGGAGGTTAGCATTTAACGAGTTCCACCCACTCTCTCTACCTTTGAAGCACAGACACTCCTCAGACACATGCAACACGACGTGTTCTATTTATGATATACTTAGTAAAAAATTTCATGATGGGCACATCCTCGAGGCGTGACCTATATATTTTCTGTCTTCAATTTTTGACATGCAACGCGCATTTCCTCAACGTCATAGGATGTGTTATTCACTGAATTCTTTTCATTCAGTAAAATCTATATTCAGAGCAGCTTGGACTTTCTAATAGCGAGCTATGCTACACAACATACATGTTTGATGCTTGTAGGAGATTAGGAGCAGACCTTTGTGGAATACACCCGTTCATGAGACTCATCAAGAATTATATTAGTAGCCTGGTCAAAACCTTTCAGAATTCCCTGCAAGAAGAATTGGTTATTTAGTATAAGAAAAGGGTTCACTACCAAATATTCTATTATTGCAGCTCAAAACCTAAAGGCTTACCACTATATTTCGCCCATCATTTGTGATCACTGAGATTGTTTCTGAGAATCACAAGGGACCAAAATTAAAAGCATAAAAAAGAGATGTTATTGGAAGCAAATTACTTGTCAAGAAATTCAAGTGTGAAAAGATATAGACGGGATATTTAAATTCTTATAAACTAAATGAAAGATGCAGTATACCCCAGTTCTCTAGAGTTTTAAAATAAGGTGCCTACAACACCTCACTCAGTTCAGGCCAAGCCAGTAACTTGATAGGACAGGAAATATGATAACTGGAGGAAGTACTTTGGCCTTATCGGGGGCAGCCATGGGGGATTTTCCGCAATGGGCCAAAGCCTGAGAGAGCAATGCCTTGTGGAGGTAGTTGTAAGTTGCTTTTATATCAGTCAATCAAAGATATTGTATCAAATGGAATTTACTCACAGCTATTTAGACTTTGACTGAGAAGAAATAAAATATCTTTAACACTTCAGCTTTGCAGATCATAACATCAAAGACTATAATGTATGAAGATGCTATCCCTAACACAGTTTGCCAGCAGGATGTTACGAAAAAAAATCTACTTCAGGTTCTTAAGAACTCTTCAAAATCACCATTGAGTTCAGGGGGAAGGGGCACATAATAAACACTACTCCATTCATGTAGTAGATTAGCAATATAATATCCAGTTTATAAACAATGGTAATTCCTGAAAAGAACACGCAAACGAGATAACATCATATATCAGTCGTGGATCAGTATAGGTTTATGATTGCATACGGTCAACAAGATTCTCAAGTCCAAGCCCACTAGACATCTTCTGATCTCCAATACAAATAGGCGATGATTCTTTTTAAATTGCTGATGCTTGGACTTTTGCGAAGCCTGCTCCATGAGAGTGAAACTAGTTATTAGTCATTTTACAATTCTAAAAAAGATGAACCAGCCAAAAGATAAAACTCAGCGAAAAAAAAAGAAAAGAAAAGAAAAGAAAATGCCTCAATCTAGGGAACTGATTAAAAATGAAAACTAATAAGAACTTAGGGTGAATAACTTTTCTGTTTTGCTTTAGAGGAAACATATAGTGACCATGAAGAAGTTGATTAAAAATGATATTAATTATTTCGATAATAAAAAATAAGTTAACTGGAGAAAGGTTGCCCACATGACTTGTGAGGTCTTAGAATGAAGCTACTTTCAACAATCCTTTTCAATCATTCTTTCAAGTTAGTAAGCCATATCCATGTTCTTTGTGCCCTTTGACTTTAACAATCCCAAATTACTAGAGGTCTTGTTGCATATCAAGTACGTCATCAGATGGGGCCTCAAATAGTTATAACGGTTTGACTGGTCATAATAAACTTCTGGAGGTCCAAATCAAGGTCCAACAAGTACACGAGTACGTAGTAGCCAGATGTCTGTTTAATAAAAAGTTAAAACAGGCGGTAAGTCGATTGGAAATCATAGATCTAGGGAAAATTTTGACTACGCAATTAATGTTCATAATGCATATACTAAATTATAATTCCTCATATTTTTAACAGTACCGAGAAAATGAACTAGATTGAATTACAGTGTATATGGAAACACAGGTGAAAGAAATTTCATTGTTACTTATCCCATCAGTAGGTTTATGGATCAAAGTAAAGAAATAGTTGCGAGAAATTAAGATTCTTACAACCACTCACATATAATACACATTAAGAAGGTAAATATCCAATAAAATTCTACAAAATAGATGAACACAGTCACAGAGCCCCACCACATACAGACACACATATCAATAGAAATTATACTTTTGGACTGGCAGCATTAGAGCATTCAAGAAAAAACCAAAAAAATAAAATAAAATAATAATAATAATAAAAAAATCCGAAATAGGAAAAATATTACTGCAGGATTAAGATACTTAAAAAATCGAACAATGTCTATTTTTCAATTCTCAGGAACAAGACTAATATCTATAAAAGCTAATCGGTATAATCACATTAATTAAAAAAAATGCAGATTTCGGCGCAATTTGAAATAACAAAACAACACTTTTCCTTCATACCTAGAGAAGGAAAAAAACCCGCCGGAAGAAGAAGTGCGAACTTGTACCGTAAACTGGTTCGTGTGCTGGAAAACCACAACTGAACCAGTTGCCAGTTGCGACACACTGATCAATAAAATGAAAGAAAGAAGATGACTGGATTAAATGTATAATGGGCCCATCTTCTTATGGACTAGTCTTGTAAAGGCCCATGTTTTGGTATAAGTTTTTAAACTTTCACTTGTAGCATTACTTTTCTACGCTTAAAGTTCCACGCTCCACATGACATCATTGTGTCAAACTATTTCTTTACCCATCTGTATAGAGATATTTATAAATAATAGATTTCTTTTTTTTTTTTAACTACACATTTTTCATAAAATCACTACTACAAAATATAATATTTTTCCAAAAACTAATTAAAATGGAGCTCAAACAAGGGCTAATGCTAAAGCAAGAAAACCCCTTTCATCAGTATGATCTTGAGAGCTCTATATTTTGTCGAATTTCAAGAAATAAATCGAATGTTTCAAATTTAGCATAGTTAGAGAATCTCCAATGATGATATAAAATAAATGTAAATTGACATATTCAAAAAAGGGCCATTTAGATTCATTGAAGTTGTGATGATTGTTATGTTTCTTTTTCTCATTCTGACAGCAAATGTAGCCACCCCACCTCCGATGTCAAGCCCTATTCTTATTGTGCCAGGCTTCTTTACTGCAAGTACTTCATCTACGGAGAAGTCGAGGCCCCCACCATTGCCAGTCCATCGGGTTTTCTCTCGTCCAGCAAGGTCAAAACAGTCCTTGCAGTCGTCAAAACCTTTCTGAGTATGCATACGATTGATGAGACATGAATAGTTCTTGCAGGTATGTGCTGTCCAAACAACAGTTGAGTCCGAGGGTGTCATCCATAAGCTATCAGGAAGTGGGTATGGTTCAATGTATTCTTTCTGTGCAGCTGGATGGCACCGGCGTCGAGGAAGTGGCTCACATCCCCGGAGGAGAAGCTTTTGTGCTAGAAGCTCGTCGTCCGGGCAGGATCCATTGACTTTGTATGACATATACTGGCGAAGCATATCAGGGAAAAGTGCACACGGATGGCCAACTGGAGGGAGGATTTTGTCGGAATCAAAATTTGAGTTATAACCCAGTGGGAGCTGCTGTGGGGATGTGAAAGCAAGAAACTCATCAGGGAGGTCTGCTTCACTTTCCGATGCATTGAATTGTTTGACAATCTCTACTTTCGGGGTTGGCTTGGGATCTCTTGGGGCACAATCAGCAGTTTTCCCAATGGGTGTGACGGATTCTACTCGAGTTCCTAGAGAACATGGAGAATACAAGTTAGTGGAAATGAAGAGAGTGAGAAGATTTGAAGACACAAGCAAGAAAAGATAGAAGAGGTTAGAAGAGAAAGATCTTGAACTGCAAGGGGAATCCATGGAAATCTGATTTGGATTGCTTAGAGTTGAAGATGAAGTGTATTGTGTATACGATTAGTTGGGATTAAAGTCAAATTACTAATACATTATGTTTTAGTACATTTAATCACGCAGAAGCATATTTTTTTTATTTAAGACAAGAGTTGGTATTGTAGCAGGTAGTGGGATCTTGAGGAAGGTCAACACTGAGAGAGTGAAGTACAAATTTCATATTCTATGGAGAAGTGTGAAGTTTTGTGATTTCGGTTTTGGCGGACTTGTTCACATGCATTTTCCAATTTGTATGAATTTATCATCTTAAATTACTTTCTTTAAAAATTCATGCGAAGGTTAAATAGATAGAGGAAGAATTTATTATAACCAGATCTGAGTTTGAATCTAATTCAGTATATTTAAACTCAAAAGATCAATATGCACTTAATTCAATGGCAAAGGTTGATTAAATTGCAGGATGCAAATTCTTAAGACTAAATTGTGGTAGTTTAGTACATAGCACTAAGCATTAATAATGGACCATATTTTAGTTTCTTTTTATTGTTTTATCCATCTTGCGTTGAGAATTAGAAACTCTAGTTTTATATCACCGAAAATAATTAAACTGTAGGAAAAAAAATAGACACACAAGACATGCAAAATTAATAGAGGTTCGTCCTAATGTGAAATTACGTCCTCTTTCGTCGCTGTGGTAACTCATTATTTTCTCTTACATCTCTCTTTTTACAAGAGAAATTGTACATTTTATCATCTCTTATACCTCTCTTTTTAATAATTATAATTAAACCTTAATGATGACTCCCTTGATGATATCCATAATTTTGCGTACAAGCTCTACGCAATGACAATAATTAAATTTTACAACTTGACATCTTGCACTCCCTTATCCGGCCTCTGGTAATGTTCAATGATATGCCAATAGCTATCCATTATTCAAATCTATTTAAGGCATTGTGCTCACTTATTCTCGATTCTTCAATTCAAAAGACATGTTGATATGCAAAAAATTATGATCAAAGCTTCCACGATTAAAAGATTGATAGAATTCACGATGAGCTTCAAAAAATAACGACAAAAACCAATATGAATTCCAAGTGGTCTTTGTATTAAGCTTGCTGTAGATTATTATTCATTGTCACAATGTAGTTTTAGTACTCATGTTTACTAACAAACTCGAAGCTGATAAAAATCCAATCATTCCTCCAGATGAGTTTTCCTATACCTGTTAATCAGAAGTAGAAAACACAAATTATAGAACAGGGGTTTGCAAAATCAAAGCAAGAATGTTCAAATCCTTACAAGAAGGTACATGCTAGTTAGTAGTTACAAACTGCAGAACTCCATTCATATGATCTTTTTCTCATAATGTTCACTCTCTTCATTTCATCCCACCCACCCACCAACCCCTGCGTTTTGGGTGTATTTTCTAGCTTCGAATCTAAAGAATATTTAGACACTACATGTTACAAATCAATGTATAACTGGCTTCAGAGGATGAGCTCTCAGTAGTGACAAGTCCAAGCTTGCATCTAGCTCTTCGTCTAGTTCTCCAACGATGCTACTGCAAGGTAAGGTAAGAAAAATCAGACTACAGCATATAATTATATTAGTCAAACGCAAAAGAATTATGATGTAAATGATATGCAGATGGCAAAGAAAAAATAGTACATGTTGTCTCCTCTGATGATGTAGAGACCCAACACAAGTTGCTGTACACCTTCCTACAATATAGAACAGGCATCAATTGTATTATGAGAAAATCAACCTTATGGAACAACACAACTGTGTTAATATTGAACTAAAATACATATAGGAAAATAAAAGATATAAAAAGAAGAAATGATAAGAATTGATTAATATTCAACTTGAAGGTACATATAACACAAAGCTCCTCAACTACAAGAGCAGGGAGGTTAGCATTTAACGAGTTCCACCCACTCTCTCTACCTTTGAAGCACAGACACTCCTCAGACACATGCAACACGACGTGTTCTATTTATGATATACTTAGTAAAAAATTTCATGATGGGCACATCCTCGAGGCGTGACCTATATATTTTCTGTCTTCAATTTTTGACATGCAACGCGCATTTCCTCAACGTCATAGGATGTGTTATTCACTGAATTCTTTTCATTCAGTAAAATCTATATTCAGAGCAGCTTGGACTTTCTAATAGCGAGCTATGCTACACAACATACATGTTTGATGCTTGTAGGAGATTAGGAGCAGACCTTTGTGGAATACACCCGTTCATGAGACTCATCAAGAATTATATTAGTAGCCTGGTCAAAACCTTTCAGAATTCCCTGCAAGAAGAATTGGTTATTTAGTATAAGAAAAGGGTTCACTACCAAATATTCTATTATTGCAGCTCAAAACCTAAACGCTTACCACTATATTTCGCCCATCATTTGTGATCACTGAGATTGTTTCTGAGAATCACAAGGGACCAAAATTAAAAGCATAAAAAAGAGATGTTATTGGAAGCAAATTACTTGTCAAGAAATTCAAGTGTGAAAAGATATAGACGGGATATTTAAATTCTTATAAACTAAATGAAAGATGCAGTATACCCCAGTTCTCTAGAGTTTTAAAATAAGGTGCCTACAACACCTCACTCAGTTCAGGCCAAGCCAGTAACTTGATAGGACAGGAAATATGATAACTGGAGGAAGTACTTTGGCCTTATCGGGGGCAGCCATGGGGGATTTTCCGCAATGGGCCAAAGCCTGAGAGAGCAATGCCTTGTGGAGGTAGTTGTAAGTTGCTTTTATATCAGTCAATCAAAGATATTGTATCAAATGGAATTTACTCACAGCTATTTAGACTTTGACTGAGAAGAAATAAAATATCTTTAACACTTCAGCTTTGCAGATCATAACATCAAAGACTATAATGTATGAAGATGCTATCCCTAACACAGTTTGCCAGCAGGATGTTACGAAAAAAAATCTACTTCAGGTTCTTAAGAACTCTTCAAAATCACCATTGAGTTCAGGGGGAAGGGGCACATAATAAACACTACTCCATTCATGTAGTAGATTAGCAATATAATATCCAGTTTATAAACAATGGTAATTCCTGAAAAGAACACGCAAACGAGATAACATCATATATCAGTCGTGGATCAGTATAGGTTTATGATTGCATACGGTCAACAAGATTCTCAAGTCCAAGCCCACTAGACATCTTCTGATCTCCAATACAAATAGGCGATGATTCTTTTTAAATTGCTGATGCTTGGACTTTTGCGAAGCCTGCTCCATGAGAGTGAAACTAGTTATTAGTCATTTTACAATTCTAAAAAAGATGAACCAGCCAAAAGATAAAACTCAGCGAAAAAAAAAGAAAAGAAAAGAAAAGAAAATGCCTCAATCTAGGGAACTGATTAAAAATGAAAACTAATAAGAACTTAGGGTGAATAACTTTTCTGTTTTGCTTTAGAGGAAACATATAGTGACCATGAAGAAGTTGATTAAAAATGATATTAATTATTTCGATAATAAAAAATAAGTTAACTGGAGAAAGGTTGCCCACATGACTTGTGAGGTCTTAGAATGAAGCTACTTTCAACAATCCTTTTCAATCATTCTTTCAAGTTAGTAAGCCATATCCATGTTCTTTGTGCCCTTTGACTTTAACAATCCCAAATTACTAGAGGTCTTGTTGCATATCAAGTACGTCATCAGATGGGGCCTCAAATAGTTATAACGGTTTGACTGGTCATAATCAACTTCTGGAGGTCCAAATCAAGGTCCAACAAGTACACGAGTACGTAGTAGCCAGATGTCTGTTTAATAAAAAGTTAAAACAGGCGGTAAGTCGATTGGAAATCATAGATCTAGGGAAAATTTTGACTACGCAATTAATGTTCATAATGCATATACTAAATTATAATTCCTCATATTTTTAACAGTACCGAGAAAATGAACTAGATTGAATTACAGTGTATATGGAAACACAGGTGAAAGAAATTTCATTGTTACTTATCCCATCAGTAGGTTTATGGATCAAAGTTAAGAAATAGTTGCGAGAAATTAAGATTCTTACAACCACTCACATATAATACACATTAAGAAGGTAAATATCCATTAAAATTCTACAAAATAGATGAACACAGTCACAGAGCCCCACCACATACAGACACACATATCAATAGAAATTATACTTTTGGACTGGCAGCATTAGGGCATTCAAGAAAAAACCAAAAAAATAAAATAAAATAATAATAATAATAAAAAAATCCGAAATAGGAAAAATATTACTGCAGGATTAAGATACTTAAAAAATCGAACAATGTCTATTTTTCAATTCTCAGGAACAAGACTAATATCTATAAAAGCTAATCGGTATAATCACATTAATTAAAAAAAATGCAGATTTCGGCGCAATTTGAAATAACAAAACAACACTTTTCCTTCATACCTAGAGAAGGAAAAAAACCCGCCGGAAGAAGAAGTGCGAACTTGTACCGTAAACTGGTTCGTGTGCTGGAAAACCTCAACTGAACCAGTTGCCAGTTGCGACGCACTGATCAATAAAATGAAAGAAAGAAGATGACTGGATTAAATGTATAATGGGCCCATCTTCTTATGGACTAGTCTTGTAAAGGCCCATGTTTTGGTATAAGTTTTTAAACTTTCACTTATAGCATTACTTTTCTACGCTTAAAGTTCCACGCTCCACATGACATCATTGTGTCAAACTATTTCTTTACCCATCTGTATAGAGATATTTATAAATAATAGATTTCTTTTTTTTTTTTAACTACACATTTTTCATAAAATCACTACTACAAAATATAATATTTTTCCAAAAACTAATTAAAATGGAGCTCAAACAAGGGCTAATGCTAAAGCAAGAAAACCCCTTTCATCAGTATGATCTTGAGAGCTCTATATTTTGTCGAATTTCAAGAAATAAATCGAATGTTTCAAATTTAGCATAGTTAGAGAATCTCCAATGATGATATAAAATAAATGTAAATTGACATATTCAAAAACACTTTTACATCTCTATTTACATTTCGATAGATTTATGAGGGTGTTCTTAACTAAGATTTTGATGAGAAGATATAAAAAAAATTAGGTCTAAATGGGTTGGTAGATTTTTGTCTCTTGTGAGTCTCACAAGTAGATCTATCATTTTCTACTATAAAATGCACTTTACAATTCCTTTGCATCTCTTCATTGGTGAGGTTTTTGAATATTTTGAAGATATAAATTACAATTTAAATCTAATCTAGAGCACAATTGGGATACGCTCTTACAATCCCTTCTTGATTGACTACTTGTATCTCCATTCGAAGCTCACAGATTGCACGTTCACCTGTCAAAATTCAAGAAGTGGCACTTTTTCTTGCTGGTGGTTGAGATAATTTTCCAACTTTCTTAATTTTGCAACAATGGTCCTAGAGTACATTGACTGAGGATTCAGATATTAGTTCGATCGAACAATATCATTTTTGTCCTTTTATTTTCTAGACCTGATCAATATTTATATTTCAATTTACTCTGTGGAGAAATCCATTGTTTTCTATACTTAATTGGCAAGAAAAAGAACTAATTAAAGAACATTTCTGTAAAGTGTTGAACTGCAGCAAAGATTGCAAGTGACCAACCCAAAAACAAACTTGTTCTACTTCAAACAATGTTCAAAATGTACCATCAAACTTCCCAGTTAAAGAGAATAGAACTGGTGAAAGAAACATCCTACGAATTAGTAGATTTGCAACAATCTAAATATTCAGCTCGAAGCAGCTACTCTAGGTGTCGTGTGAAGATCTCTTGATCCAACTCTGCCACGTCCAACTCCAGTATGTTGGTGTCCTAAGTCAGATATGGCATGCCTCTTATTAGCCATTTGACTGCGATTATTCTGCCCATTACTTGACATTATAGAAGAACGATCAGTTGAATCTACTGAATTTGGCTCCCACGAAGAAGAAAGCCAGTGTTCCTGACTGCCCACAAAGCTATTGCTGCCTGATGATTCTTGCTCTTCCAAGTCTTCATCCCCTGGCACCGTACCTCTCCTTACAGTTATGTATTTGTGAAAGCTTGGCTGCGTCAAATCATCATTAGCCACCACCTCAGATTCCACAATGGGGTCCCTCTTGGTTTCTAATCTTGTCTTCTCATCACTCTTAACGAAATGCTCAGCAGTGGAGTTTTGCATTGTGTCCGAGGAAGTACCGATCAAGTTGGAACCAGTACTCGAGTTAAGGTCAGCAACAGCTTCAAGAATAGAGCAGGCTTTAGTAACACTAGGTGGGAGAGTAAACCCGGGGTTCAGGGGGTTCTTTTGGTGAAAGTTTTGGATATCTTCAAGCAATAATGCAGTGTAGGATGGAGTAGGATTTAGCTGAGTTTCAGGTTTGTAGTCTTGGTCTTGGGATTCTCTAAAGGATCTGCTTCTCGTCATTGTCTGAGGTTTAAAATTTTCAGGACCCGAAGGTACCTTATTTAACACAAAATTGCCTGTAACTCCTTGTAATCCCTTAGACTCTTCTGTAATCAACTGCGGGTGCTCCTTGGCTTTGCAATTCACTAGATTGTGATCGATTTTCTTGCTTCTAAGTTTGTGTTCAGCTCTTGTATTTCCTGCATTTGCCTTCTCCGTAACAACATACAAGCATCAAGTTATTTGTAAGACGTATGCAAGAACTCTTTAAGTTGAAGTAATTTATAAAACTACAAGTCATTCTGAATAAAATGAAGTCATATGATGTGTTTCCTGCATTTGCCTTCTCCGTAACAACATACAAGCATCAAGTTATTTGTAAGACGTATGCAAGAACTCTTTAAGTTGAAGTAATTTATAAAACTACAAGTCATTCTGAATAAAATGAAGTCATATGATGTATAGCCAACAACTTCGAAGCATAAAAAATCATATAATTTCTAAACACCACTTGAAGTTACCTACAAAACTATAGCCATTTTTCGTAATATAGAGTTTCATGGATCAATATTTCATGAAACTTCCAATCCTGTCACTTAAAATCAGTTCCCTACTCCATCAGCTCAAACTTATAGAGGAGGTGATTCAACACAGAAGCCTCAAGTTCAAATCTTACCTCCTCTCGTTTATGAAAAAACTATGCAAATGTCAGACTCTCCATAAATAAAGAACGTGGTTGCTTAGTCTTCTAAATGAGGTGGTTCAAAACAAGCTAATAGAGGTGTTATCACATGAATGAGTATCAAACAATTTTCTTTTAGCTAGATAGTTCTCTATACTTCAATCAAGAAACTAAATCACAGAGGAGGGAGGTAGTTCTCCTAGAGTATAACTTAGCAGAGTTTTGCGACACGCTGGTGTGCACACCCCTCACATGAGGAAGGCCCACGCATTTTTTTTTATAGGGTGTGGACCCTTCCCTCTTGTGAGGGGCATGTACACCAGTGTTGACAAGCAAGTGTACAAATAGCAAAATTCAACTCAGTATTTGCCCTACATATGTAATACACGTCAATTCACCAGCGGCCTGGGAGTACAATTTAATACACATGTCAATTCAACTAAGTACTTATCCTACATTTGTACTACACATGTCAATTCATCAGTGGCCTAGGAGTAGTATTTAATACACATGTCAATTCGACAGTAGCACGAGTACTGAGTACTCCATACTCGGGGAATACTAGAAATTTTTTCGAATATTATATTGTTTGATAAAAAATATGCATACCTGTGACAGAATGTTGTTGACAGCAGGTTTAACTCCTGCAGGAGAAGGCATCTGTTCCATAACAATGTTGGTATCAATCTCACTAAGAGGGTTTCTTCTATATGGAGATTGCTCTGCCTTTCTTGAATTGCCTTGGCTAAGGGATACAGTTTGGTTTTGACAGGATTTAAAATTCTGATTCTCATTCGACCCCTTGACATTAGCCCGTGCAGGGGATCGATTACGAGGCGAAGCAGCACTCCTCAAACCCACAGTGGAATCCACACCAGCAGTTCTCTTCACTTGGATCCTTTTAATGGCCGTGGTCGAATTAGGCTCTAAGCTACCGCTGCTGCCGCCATGGCTAGGACCTGCATTAGTACTCTTATCCATTGCCAAAGATGACACTGTGGCAGGCACAGAAACCATCTTTCCAGGCCTACAACTGCCATTATTAGAATTTGCTGCCGACGAATTAGCACCAGTAGAGGTAGTAATTGGAGATTCAGATCTTCTACCGGGAGATCTGCTTACCCTCCTTCCACCTCCACTCTCACCTCTTTCTCTGCTACCGGAACGCTGCTGTGCCGCCTGGTCTCTTTCTCGACTGGGAGTCCTTCTCCGCCCCTGAGAGGCGGATCCACCAGTCCTGGACTGGCGCTGGCTTTGTCTATGGCGGTGCTCTTTATCCCTTATCACAGCAACATTGTCACCATCAGCAACATTGTCTCCATCAGCACCATTTTCGTTATCAAAATCAAAACTCCTTTTTGAACCAGAGTACTTTCTTCCCCTTTGAAGATTACCAGAATCTTCTGAAGAACCGGAACCGGAAAGCCCGACCTTCCCGGTTGAAGAATTCCGGCTAAGCCTTCCACATTGTATCAAAATAGCATCCACCTCTTCTTTAGTACAACTCGAGGACCTCACCGGAGTTGCCATTATGACACCTTCCCCATTCCCTAATTCACCATTTATTTCATTAATCGGGCTCGAATTTTTCCCCATTTCGACTACTTCTGTGGACTTCCGTGCTTCAATTTTCTCCTCTGCAGAATGCCTTCCGACTTCGTGGCTCTTCTGGTGTTTCGTAACAAAAATCTGTTTCTTCACAATTTCTTCTTCTGCCTTCTTTTTCTCCAATTGAGTATTGGACTGAATCTGTTCTTGTGGCTTTAAAATTGGACCAGGAGAAGAAGTGCTTTTCTTGCTTAAACAACTTCCCATTTCGTTCAGAGCAAACTGAAAAGTCAATAATCAGATTTTTTTTAAAAAAAAAAAAAGAAAAAGGTAGAGCGAGAGAGAAAACCCAGAATCAAATTATAGAAGAAGGAAAGAGAGAGAAATGGGGGTAGAGTGTTTATGAACAAGAAACCACTTATTTGAAAGGAAGAAGAAAGTAGCTTTTTGAAGGGAGTGGGGTTAGAGAAGGGTGAGAACAAATTCAAATTTGACGGGGGGCAAATGAATGTAGCCGTTAAAGAATAATTTGTGATGTAAATTACAAGAAATTATTGCAGAAGTTATAAAAATATGTTTTTTAGCACATGTTACAATCAAGACAAAAATTGTTGTTTTGTTTTTTTTTTTTTGGATACCCAGGTGTCCTAGTTTCGTCAGACTAAATCCTAGATCCCTAACCACTGGCCCCTTAGTGACTAGCGGAGGTAAACCGCAGGTTGTGCCCTTATTGGATCACAGGTTCCCACCCCGTCTAAACTCCTGGTCTCAAGAGAACTTTCCTCCATAGTGATTAATCCACCAATAAATTGCCCCTTTATTGGATCAAAGGTTTCAAGACAAAAATTGTTGATTATATTGTAGGAGTTACACTAATAATTTTCATTGCTAGAGTTACTGTCAATTATACCACAAACACGCTCAAAGCTCCCAAACCATGTCTCAAGTATTTTTATCCATGTTTTCAGGTTAAGTATCATCTTCATAGAATATATAAAAGAAGAAAACATAATTTATCTGTAAAATTCATCACATTTTCACGGTATTGAAAGTTGAAGGTTTACTTTGCCCTCGTTTGGCCCCCATTTTGTAGAAATGAAAATAGGTGGAATAGTATTTTTTTGAAAAATGAATGGTTGAAAAAGAATGAAAAATTTTGATTTACGTATAATAATATTTTATAAAAGATTATGTGATTGAAAATATGAGAGATAAAAATGAAATGAAATGAAATGGAATAAAAATTAATGGGGCCTAAATGGAGGCTTTCAATTAATGCTATGTGCAATTGCATTTTTTTTTTCTCTCTTTTTCCTTTCCACATTGATTGCATGAGAAAAAAAATCCATATTCTGTCCAAAAAAAATGAAAAGTTGAGGGAGCTAGGAAATAAAAATTAATATAAACATGTGTTAGTTGGTGCACACCAATGATGGATTTTCGAGTGGTGGTTGGTAGAGATGCTTGGTGTACTGGGGAGGTTCATAGATATTTTACGAATATGGCACTTAACAATTTTGCATTGAAAGATAGATAAAAAAATAAAAATGGATCGAGTAGATGCAGCGCTGGCAATACATCTAAAACTTTTGTGAACCATTCCCCTGTACAAAGGGGACATAGGCGGACCCACATGGGGTCAATTGACCCCACAAAATTCACCTTTTTTCTTTTTCATTTTTTTAATAAAAAAAATCTATAAATAATTCAAACATTGTCCATTACCAAGCTCGCTTTTTCTTTTTTTTGGTTGAATCTTGCTTATTGCCAAGCCCAATTGCACAAGCCCCTGATTGTTCTTTCACTTGTCAAACTCTAAGTGACAAAGTTCATTTTCTCTCCACTCCTTCACGTGGCAGTTTTTTCATATGCATTTGGACTTTACCTTAAGCCCCCACAGAGAGAAGAAATGAAGAATCGACACAGTGGTCTACAGTGGAGAGTTTGAGATCGCCATTCATATTTCGAATTTTCTCTTCTTGTGTTAATTTTGTGATTTTTTTCCATCTAGATAACAAATCTACAACCTACTTATTTGATTTTACATGTTTTTATTCTAAAATTCATTTGAATTTGATATTTGAGAAATATTGTTGACCGCAATCCCCATTGCTTTTTATCTTGTTTGAAAATGAAAGTTTGATTGCTTGACATGGATCAATGATTCAACCTAATGCTCATAGTTATTTAAAATTATGACCTCAGGTTCTAAAATAGACTAGGTTTTCTATTATTTTCCTCTGTTGCGTAGTTTAATTTTTAGCTTATTTTATCATCATACTTAAATTAAATTGGTTTAAATATTCGATAATAGTAATAATGATATAATTATACGATATTTTCAAAGTACGAAAATGCTTAGGCTGTCGTTGTAGTAGTGTTACTGAATTATCTTCATTAATAATATGTCGTTTAAAAAAAAAAAAATTCAATTTTTGACCCACAGTACCAAACTTCCGGCTCCATCCGTGCAAGGGGAATTGTTCTTTTATTAGGTAGAGAGATTTAATGGGGTGTTGGTTTTTTGAAGAGAGGTTGTAAGTGACTGATTTGGAAAGAAATGAGATTCCGAACGCACGCAATGACGTGATAGCTCCTCAGCTGGCGCCAGCTAATAAGAATTAGAGGGTAAATGGAGCATTGGTATAGAGATCCTGGTATCTGCTCTAAGCTACCGCTGCTGCCGCCATGGCTAGGACCTGCATTAGTACTCTTATCCATTGCCAAAGATGACACTGTGGCAGGCACAGAAACCATCTTTCCAGGCCTACAACTGCCATTATTAGAATTTGCTGCCGACGAATTAGCACCAGTAGAGGTAGTAATTGGAGATTCAGATCTTCTACCGGGAGATCTGCTTACCCTCCTTCCACCTCCACTCTCACCTCTTTCTCTGCTACCGGAACGCTGCTGTGCCGCCTGGTCTCTTTCTCGACTGGGAGTCCTCCTCCGCCCCTGAGAGGCGGATCCACCAGTCCTGGACTGGCGCTGGCTTTGTCTATGGCGGTGCTCTTTATCCCTTATCACAGCACCATTGTCACCATCAGCAACATTGTCTCCATCAGCACCATTTTCGTTATCAAAATCAAAACTCCTTTTTGAACCAGAGTACTTTCTTCCCCTTTGAAGATTACCAGAATCTTCTGAAGAACCGGAACCGGAAAGCCCGACCTTCCCGGTTGAAGAATTCCGGCTAAGCCTTCCACATTGTATCAAAATAGCATCCACCTCTTCTTTAGTACAACTCGAGGTCCTCACCGGAGTTGCCATTATGACACCTTCCCCATTCCCTAATTCACCATTTATTTCATTAATCGGGCTCGAATTTTTCCCCATTTCGACTACTTCTGTGGACTTCCGTGCTTCAATTTTCTCCTCTTCAGAATGCCTTCCGACTTCGTGGCTCTTCTGGTGTTTCGTAACAAAAATCTGTTTCTTCACAATTTCTTCTTCTGCCTTCTTTTTCTCCAATTGAGTATTGGACTGAATCTGTTCTTGTGGCTTTAAAATTGGACCAGGAGAAGAAGATGGAGAAGAAGTGCTTTTCTTGCTTAAACAACTTCCCATTTCGTTCAGAGCAAACTGAAAAGTCAATAATCAGATTTAAAAAAAAAAAAAAAAAATTAGAGCGAGAGAGAAAACCCAGAATTAAATTATAGAGGAAGGAAAGAGAGAGAAATGGGGGTAGATTGTTTATGAGCAAGAAACCACTTATTTGAAAGGAAGAAGAAAGTAGCTTTTTGAAGGGAGTGGGGTTAGAGAAGGGTGAGAACAAATTCAAATTTGACGGGGGGCAAATGAATGTAGCCGTTAAAGAATAATTTGTGATGTAAAAAATTACAAGAAATTATTGCAGAAGTTATCAACATATGTTTTATAGCACATGTTACAATCAAGACAAAAATTGTTGATTATATTGTAGGAGTTACACTAATAATTTTCATTGGTAGAGTTACTGTCAATTATAAATTTTACAAATAACAAATAATTGCATATTGGATTTTTTTGTCATTAATTATTATTATTATTATTATTATTATTATTATTATTATTATTATTATTATTATTATTATTATTATTTTTAATTTAGTATGTTCAATTGAGAAAAGTAAGAGATGTATAAGATCTTTATAGATTGTTCAATATACCACAAACATGCTCAAAAACTTAATGTGGGGTGGTGCCCTCCCAACCCATGTCTCAAGTATTTTCATCCATGTTTTCAGGTTAAGTATCGTCTTCATAGAATATATAAAAGAAGAAAACGTAATTTATTTGCAAAATTCATCACATTTTCACGGTATTGAAAGTCGAAGGTTTACTTTGCCCTCATTTGGCCCCCATTTTGTAGAAATGAAAATAGGTGGAATAGTATTTTTTTGAAAAATGAATGGTTGAAAAAGAAGGAAAATTTTTGATTTACGTGTAATATTATTTTATAAAAGATTATGTGGTTAAAAATAGGAGAGATAAAAATAAAATGAAATGTAATGAAAATTAATTGGGCTAAACGGAGGCTTTCAATTAAAGCTATGTGCAATTGCATTTTTTTTTTCTTTCTTTTTCCTTTCCACATTGATTGCATGAGAAAAAAAAATCCATATTCTGTCCAAAAAAAAAAAAAAAAAAAAAAAAAAAAATTGTTGGGGGGGGGAAAAAAAAATTAATTGAGGGAGCTAGGAAATAAAAATTAATATAAACATGTGTTAGTTGGTGCACACCAATGATGGATTTTCGAGTGGTGGTTGGTAGAGATGCTTGGTGTACTGGGGAGGTTCATAGATATTTTACGAATATGGCACTTAACAATTTTGCATTGAAAAAATAGATTAAAAAAAAAATGGATCGAATAGATGCAGCGCTGACAATACATCTAAAACTTTTGTGAACCATTCCCCTGTACAAAGGGGACATAGGTGGACCCACATGGGGTCAATTGACCCCACGAAATTCACTTTTTTTCTTTTTCATCTTTTTTTAATAACAAAAAAAATCCGTAAACAATTCAAACCTTGTCCATTACCAAGCCCACATTATTATTATTATTATTATTTTTTTTTTTGTTGAATCTTGCTTATTGCCAAGCCCAATTGCACAAGCCCCTTATTGCTCTTTCACTTGTCAAACTCCAAGTGACGAAGTCCATTTTCTTTCCACTCCTTCACGTGGCAGTCTTTTCATATGCATTTGGACGTTACCTTAAGCCCCCACAGAGAGAAGAAATGAAGAATCGACACAGTGGTCTACAGTGGAGAGTTCGAGATCGCCATTCATATTTCGAATTTTCTCTTCTTGTGTTAATTTTGTGATTTTTTTCCATCTAGATAACAAATCTACAACCTACTTATTTGATTTTACATGTTTTTATTCTAAAATTCATTTGAATTTGATATTTGAGAAATATTGTTGACCACAATCCCCATTGCTTTTTATCTTGTTTGAAAATGAAAGTTTGATTGCTTGACATAGATCAATGATTCAACCTAATGCTCATAGTTATTTAAAATTATGACCTCAGGTTCTCAAACAGACTAGGTTTTTTATTATTTTCCTCTGTTGCGTAGTTTAATTTTTAGCTTATTTTATCATCATACTTAAATTAAATTGGTTTAAATATTCGATAATAGTAATAATGATGTAATTATACAATATTTTCAAAGTACGAAAATGATTAGGCTGTAGTTGTAGTAGTGTTACTGAATTATCTTCATTAATAATATGTCGTTTAAAAAAAAAAAAATCAATTTTTGACCCACAATACCAAACTTCCGGCTCCATCCGTGCAAGGGGAATTGTTCTTTTATTAGGTAGAGAGATTTAATGGGGTGTTGGTTTTTTGAAGAGAGGTTGTAAGTGACTGATTTGGAAAGAAATGAGATTCCGAACGCACGCAATGACGTGATAGCTCCTCAGCTGGCGCCAGCTAATAAGAATTAGAGGGTAAATGGAGCATTGGTATAGAGATCCTGGTATCTACATTAACTTCTACCGACTCCGAGCATGACAACCTAATCAGCATCATTGGACCGGACCCCCTACTTGCAAATCATTTGTATATTGTTTGCGGGTGCACAACCTCGTGTTTCCATCTTTTTATACGTGTTGTCATTCACTACGGTGTAAACATCTACCATTCATCAATCTCCTTTTGCATCACTATGCCCAAGTCACATGAACGAATTTGGTGAACTTTATATTATCGCAACAACTTATGATTTCTTGTCAGATGCACGTGGTACCACTACAATGACCATCGTCTCTAAACTACTCGTGCATTCAGCTCGTGATAACCTTCAAGAACTTGAGATTGGTGTGTATAGCTCACTCACGAGCTAAAATTACCTTTATGCAGAAAATGATATGACTGCCATAATGTTGGTTTTCGAAATTTCAAAACTTTGCCTTTTCGTTTTTCACTCTCAAATCTTATACATGCATTAAAAGATGATTTATTTCATAATTTTACTCCCTTATTTCTTCCTCACTCTTCACCATTATCATCTTTTTCGATGAAATCTCTTGAACATTGACAACTACCTGATGTAAGTTTTACCATCTAGCATTTAATACATATGTCTTCATCGATACAACATTTTTAGCTAGTAGAATGATAGCATGTCTTGTTCAATAGGTTTCTCGGAGTCATGAGGTTAATCTACTTGCTGTTTCTTAGACTCACTAGAAAAATTATGTGAATATACAAAAGCGTGCGATTTTTTTATTTATTTTTATTGGTGAACACTGAAAAATGAAATTGATTGTTTCATTTTTCATTATTATTATTATTATTATTATTATTATTATTATTATTATTATTATTATTATTATTATTATTATTGTCTAACACTAAATTTTTTTCATTTACTTTTACAAGTTAATTGTTTCCCCCATTATCAAGTCATTTCATCGGGACTGTTGATGTCAATAAAATGAATATTCCATTAACAAATTTTCGTTCAAAAATATCGAATGTATCAATGTATTGTAAAGTAGAGACGGAATTTTTTCAAGATGAGTATTTTTAATTTAAATACTATTTGTGAATGAAAGTTGTATATCAATGCATCCCTGAATATACCTTATAAATATAAGATTTTGATAATAAAAAAATACATAAGAATTTTGACTATTTCTCAATTTTTTAAATATTATTCTTCTTTCTCTCTCTTAATTTGTTGTTATTATTATTATTTGTATACGATTTTCATTGAAAAATATTATAAAAAAAAATATTTGGGGGACATGAAACGTGCGGGGTGGTTGATGACTAAAGCGTGGTTCAACTTAGGCAATTTTTGATAAAATTTAAAACTAAGGTCATCTTCAACTCTGTACCCAAATTTGATGTAAGTATTGAACTATTTTATACTAAATCCTGTACAAAATTAAAAATTATCTTCAACCATTACACCAAAATTTACGTGTTTAATCATTTTCTTCATTTTAATTATTTGAAAATTTATTTCTTTATTTATTTTACAACTACATATATTACTAAATAAGTAATTTATTATTATTTACATTACTAAAATTTATTATAAATTCACGTAATAATAATAATAATAATAATAATAATAATAATAATAATAATAATAATAATAATATTTTATTGTATTAAAAAATATGTAACACAAATGATACAAATTCCTTTAATCAATTTGTTTGACAAAAGAAAACAAAGGGTTAAATTGACTTTGCACCATTTTTGTGAAAAAGGGTGCAAAATTTGGTGCATTTGGCATTTTCATGTCTCCTTTGGAAATACTCTTAGGCACTGTTTGATTAACCATTTTTTTTTCCCATAGAACTAGGAATTGATTTTCCAACTTTCACTTTTGCATTGTTTGATAGCATTTATTTTCTTACTCCTTCACTCACGTGCCACTTTTCTTGGATTTTGTGGAATTGGAGCGTATTTTTTTATTTTTATTTTTTTGGCAATGGAAACAAATCTAAGAATTATTGTAAAAAAATATTTTCCTTTAATTGATAATTTTCATGTAAAACAAAGCCAAACAAATACCCAAATATAGATGATTTTCTTATTTTTTTTTTTTGGATTTTGGCAATGAAAACAAATTTCATTCCCAATACCAATAAATTATATCCCTTTAATTGACAATTTTCATATAAAATAAAATCAAACGGACATCAAAAAATACTTAAATTTAAATATTTTCCATGTGAAAAATTATATCAATCAAACATAATAATTTACAATTCATAAGAAAATAATTTTCCATAAATTCAATTCCCTGAAATTCATTTTCTTTCCACTCAAATTCCACCTTTGTAATCAAACGGATCCTTAGAGTCAAACCTTTTTTATCACCCAAATGCCAAATAGTCATTTTGCAGTTCAATTTGGTTTTAAATTGAAGTTTGTAATCTAAATTTTGGATCAAATTTACCTTCAAGAAAAATTGATGTAGTTAGGAGCGTCATCAACTAAGATTTTTGATTTTAAAAGATTATAAATTCTAATGAATTTCATAAATTTTTACAAATTTCCTAAAAACTTCATTAAAAATGGTAAAATTTAAAAGATTTTGTTACATGTATTTTCTAGAAAACCATTCAAATCTTTTAAAATTCTTCAAATTAATAAAAACCTTATAAATCTACTAGTTATTGAAGATATCTAAAGGATTTCATTCAAATTCATTAAAATCTCAGTATGGGACATCT